GAAACGTCGAGGTAAATAAAATATGTTTTAAATATGTTTGATAATGTGTGAAAATGTAAATCAAAGTAATGATATTAATGTCATCAAGTTTATATTTACCTGAATTTCCCACCGGACCTGCAATCGTTTGTCGAGAATTTCTTTACAGTTATTAGTGGCACTGAACGGTGTTCGAGAGGTCGTTGAACTCGTCTGAAATTTTTACCAGGTTTAGTGATATTAAGTGTAATTTAAAACGTACATATTAAAATAAACCAAATTAAAGTAATAGTCCATTCTTATCACAATACAGGGCTGTATTTATATGTAAAGTTATCTCTTGTAACTTATTATCTGATTACCGATCACTCAAACAAGTTTAGTTTACCTTTACACATTCCTCTTAGTGATTACTTCACTCCGAAAAAACTTTGTTGACTGAGAGCCGGTAGAGGAGTTTAGTTCCCGTAGCAAACATTTTATTGTCACGGAACTATAAAATTATTTTCCCTAATAAGGTGTTTTTGTCATGGAAACACAAACTGATTTTCTCTTTGTAGTTCTATGACAATAAAAACCTTGTTATGAGAAGTAAATACTTCTGTCGGTTCATAGGCGACAAAGATTTATTTCTGGAACTGAAACTTCTCCCTTTTTCTTTTGCCCGGCAATTACGCGTACATAAAGAGACAGATACGATCCAAAGTTTAGTAAAAATATTAAAGAAATAAAAAAAATGTTAATACTCACAGGGTTATACCACCAAGCTGGCTGTTAAATTAATTAAATCCAATACCAAGGAAAGCAGAAGAAAAGAAACATCACACATGAATTAGTCACAATCATTTTAATAAATGTTAACATGATGGTAAAAATTTCAGTCTTAATGTTATTTTGTAGGTTATATATAATTGAGACGTTGAATGACTGATGAAGTCACTTGGAGCGAATCATGTGAGAACTACAGAAAACGACTTAAGATTGAGAAATGTGGAGAAAGCGACCAAACTTCAACAAGATTCTGGTCGCAAAAGTTCTAGGTCAAAATTAATTGGTCTAGAGAAACAGGTAAGGGAGGAAGCAAAAGTACGTAAGAAGAAGACAATCCACCGTTGGGAAATAGCGGTGACATTCCATTAGTTCGCACATAAATAGTTACTCAACATCTCAATTCGCAAGTAACAAAGTTCGGTTAAAAACCATTAAGCCAATCAAAAGAGAACCAAGAAGGTTGAATATGAGTTTGAGTTTGAGGCGGTAGCGTTAATTTCTGATATTTAACAGGTGATGGTCGGCTTGACGGCCGTTTTCCCTGTAAAAAATTGTTATTATAAAAGAAAATTATTATTGTTAGTCCCCGGCAGCGCTGAAAGAAAAGTTTGATAATGCCATTTGGTTAGCTGAAATGAGATTTGTTAATAATAGATTTATTTGCATATTTCAAGCCAAATGCGTAATAATAATGTGTGGTTGCTCATTGTGATGATGATTTATAACGTTCAATCTGTATTTTTTTAGAATACGAGCGATTTAGATGAATAATTTAAAATACGAGTGTTTTTGCACTTTTGAAGAAACCATCTTTCACGGACAATGACCCAATCATCACAGATGCCTTACATACTCTTTTACTTACAGTAATCTTCGTCTGTCCTAAAGCCGGTGGCACATCCAAGTCCTTAGGAATGTAAACGTGTCCAAAATTATGTCTATATTCGACACACCATACAGCTAGCCAGTCGATGTCATAGGCTGTAAGTTTTCCAGGAAGCTGGATCTCAATGTCTTCACCTTGGTAACCACGGAGTGGATGAAGCGAACCCATTTCGTTAGGAACCTGAAAATAGGCAGGAAAAGAAGTGGCTTAGAGATGTTTTCGTTTGTAATATTAACAATCTTCGCTCTGTAAACATAATAATTATAATTATAGTGATTTATAATGTGTCCACTACTCCGGGTGTTTCTGGCGGACCCAGACATGCATATGGATTCGCTGGGGTTTGTGGTGAGCTGCAGAGACGGACATGTTTGTCTGCCCCGGCGGTTTGTGGCCGGGACGTCTGTCTCGTACACAGCTAGCGCATCTTAGTAGCGGTCTAGTTGAGGCCTTGAAGTGAGGAGACGCGCGGGGCACGTGAGTTCAAAGCTGTGTCTGAATATTGTCGCAGGACCCTTTTTTTTTCATTGTCGCAGGACCCTGCGACTAGTATCTCCGGCACAAGCCCGGATAGCTAGTAGAGGGTAAGTTAGATATTCTTCGGTCCCTCCAGCTGCTTAGGTTATTGTGAACTGAAGAGACACCGTTGCCGGGAAGTGAGCGTGCCTTACAGCTCCGGTGCCTATCTGGAAAATAGGGTGGGTACTGTACGTGCACCCGGGGCGGCTCACCCGAGGCACTAGCCTCTTGAGAACCGGATGAAGTTAGTGACAACGGTCTGTGATAACCCTGTACACTGTCTGATCGGGATCAGAACCTGCCTGTCTCACTGCACTTCACGAAAAAACCCGCGAGTTATAGGACCGACCTACTACGAGCATCTACCTGCCGAACTAAAAAACGAATGTTGTCAGGTGAAGACTGAAGAACCTTTTATTGGAAAAGTTCCTTTACTCAGTATCAGAGTACACTCAAAGTACTTAATAAATAATTAAATTATTATATTTATTAATGAATTTGACTTTCCACCGTATTATTATACTGTAATATACATGTATTAGTTATTAAGAATCATATTGACATTTATTATTATTTCTGTATACACTTGACTTTGTTAGTTTCATTCAATTATTTATTAGTTTAATTAATTATGTTGATTTATATATATATATATATACATATTTAATATATAATAGACACACGCTTGGCCACAATCTCACCTGATGTTAAGCGACCCTGAGACGCGTTGTAAAAAATGCCTATTCACTCTAGCCTTGAATAGCCCCAAATTGTACTTTTCGGGAAATACAGATAGAGCATTCCATTCCTTTGCCGTACGCATCAGAAAGGAGGAAGCAAAGCGCTTAGTGCGAATAGGTGGAATATCAACGACATAAGAATGGAGTGCTCCGGACCCTCTAGTCGACCGAAGGAGGAACGGTGAGGGCGGAACCAAATTGAAAAGTTCCTGCGCACACTCCCCGAAATGTATCCGATAGAAAACCGACAAGCAGGCTACTTTTATGCGATGGTCGAGATTTTGTAGCTTCGACTCCACAAGAGAATTATTGTTAATAAGTCTCTTTGCTTTTCGCATCCACTGAGTCCAAGGCAGCTAACTGGTAATGGGCAGAGCCGTCCCAAAGGTGGCAGCAGTACTCCATACAGGATCAAACTTGTGCTTTATACAGATTTAAAAGCTGTTCAGGTGTGAAGTACCGCCTGACCTTGTAAACTATGCCTAGTTTTCTGGCAGCAGTTTTTGCCAAGCACTCGATATGTACACTATTGTGCACTTATGACTTACTATTATATTATTATTTCTTCATTTTGTAAATTGACGCTCACTTTTCGAAGAGTTGCATAAAATGACATGTAATTGTATTTGTATGAAATTTGTAATGTTGGGGGAAATAAACTAAACTATTAGATTATCACATACACTTACCTTTGTTCCAAAAGGATTAGGTTCAGTGCCATTCCCGACCCAGAAGTAAGCATCAGGGCCTGCTCCATCGTAGTGCAAATTGGGGATATAGAAGGTTTTAGCGTCGAGAACGCTGATGTTGCCTGACCGCAGGCCGTGTGCAAGGCGCTTGAATTCTGGTAGGACTCTTGGACGCGGTGGGTCCAGGCCTGGTGGGATGAAAACATCGCCGAAGTTTACCTGAAACAATATTGATTAAAATTTCTTCATGTAGCAATTATTAACGTATTTTCGGATTGTATTCTGACTGGCTGAAAATCTCATTGTCCCTTAATGGCTGCCGAATCTGCCGAGGAATGGGAAAATGCATTGACCTCAATGCAAGCCAGCAGCTAAACATTTTCAGCTTTGATGTTTTTATGGATTTTTCTTACAACGTTTATTAACAGACCTAAGAATAAATTAAATTTTAATTTTTAATTAAATTAAGATAAATTTTAAAATATTTTTTATGGTTTCATATTATCATTACTCAACCTTAAAATGTTTGCAAATTATTTTAAGATTCAGTTGGTTTGTAAAACTATGTACACCTGCCTAATCTTACAGAGGATGAGCCAGTGAATGAGTTGAATGAAAAGCGCGGCAAACCACGCGTTTTGGCGGGAAAGCTCGCACATGCGCACTGCGTGAGATCGATATTTCGCCGGGCTGTCACAGACACCACCAACCGGTCTGATACATTGCATACTTATGTATAATTTTAAATACCTAATAATGTATAGTAAGTGTAGTAGGTGTGTTCTTTGTTATGATATAATCATAAAGAAATAGAATTTTTCCAGTAAAAAAACTGCGGCATTTAAAAGCGTTTCTTTGAGACATTGAACAATTATACTATTATAGTCGCCGACGTAAATTAATTCATAAATGATTTATAGTATACACTGTCCTTCTTTTTTAGCGAAATTGAATTATTAACACCCATGATCGATATTTTAAGGGACAAAAAGTTAGTTCAAATTTAAGGACACCCTGTCTTTAAATTTAAACTAACTTTTTGTTTTTGAACAAATATCAATAGTGATTAGTTTACTTGACGGATTCTATATAATCCTCAAGAAAGATTATGCTGTAACATGTTTCACAAAAACAAACTATTATTACTAAAAAAACCTAAACTAATATTTCTCTAAATTTTCAGTAACACCAAAAATTCACTAATTAATTAACCAGTAATAGACACTCACCAATAATGAATAACACTTACCAATAATAAACAATAATAAACGTGTTACTATGATAGAAAATTTTGTCCTAGATATGAATTTAAAAAAAAGATATCGAACACTCGTGCTTGTCGGTCACTGGTGCCACTACAATCTCGTCTTATTTAGTTTCAGTTTTATTGTCATGCAAAATCAAATATTTTTTAAAGATAAAAATCTTTAGCAAATACGTTAGTTATGACAAGGAGGGCAGTATGTACGTTACTTAGTTTTATCAATACATAACTGCAGAAGTGAATATTTTCAATATTACAAGCCCGAGTGTTATGTTACACTTGGCTTGTTTTTAATTTAACGCTTCGTTTTTACACGACTGCAAGTCTCACGGCCATCTCAAAATGAGGATTCATTTATATGTAACGCGAAGGACTTCAAAATATTACCTATGAACTTCGCCTATCAAGAACTTTTTGAAACAAGATAATCTTCAGATACCAACCAGCATGAAGAAAAGATTACAGATTTTGATCGGTCTGCTCATATTGAACGTAGATCACGGTCAATCCAGTAGCTATTTTGAGGAAAAGGAGGCGCCGCGGAAGTCAATGGCGACGTTGGTTGATGACTTGTACAAAAAGGGATTCTACAAATCGAAGATCGTCAAGAATGCAATGCTACAAGTGGACAGAAAATTCTTTTGCGAGTGTTTTACGATGACCTACGACGATAAGCCGTTTCCTCTCACATATGGATCATTTATTGGAGCACCGTCCTTGCATGCAACGGCTCTGCAGTTGATGAAGCGCCATCTCAGACCCGCACCAACACCAACAAAAGCACTAGACATTGGATGTGGTTCTGGATACCTGACAGCAGCGATGGCAAGTATGATGAGCCAAGGGCTCGTGATCGGGATCGACCACATGAAAGCCATTGCCAATAAAGCGTATAGTAATATTAGAAATTTCAATCCAAAACTTCTAGAGAACAAAGTGCGTGTTGTTGCTGCTGACGGCCGAAGGGGATATGCACAAATGGCTCCATACGATGTCATCCATTGCGGTGCCTTTGCCGAGACCATTCCTGACGCGTTCAAAAAACAGTTGAAGCCTGGAGGCCGGCTTGTAATGGCACTTGGCAAGCCAGGAGCTACTCAGCAATTAATTACAGCGGATTTGGGCAAAGACGGGAGTTGGTCAATTAAAAATGTGACTGAAGTGTCGGTTCCGCCTCTTACTGATCCGAACCTACAAATAGGTAAATGAAATAGGGCTGCTCTTCGACTTCAATCAATTATAATCTTGACGTTTGTCAGAGTGTTCTCGAATCACGATATTCTTCTTCTTGTCATATCAATGGTATACACTATACTACGATTGCTCAGAACTCAGTCATGCCGGCCGTGTGTTAGGGCACACCAGACACGGTGTGAGATGGGCTATCGTTTGAATCGCGACTTAACGACAACGATATTAATTGCACAAAAGTCAAACACGCGATGACTACATAAACTACATAGTTAATATATGTTTATTTTTTCTTTCAATCTTTTTATCTAGTTTCATTTAATTCACTTGTTATTAAGTCCACGAAAAAAATATTTTTCATTTTCGTTTTATTTTAACTGCCTCCGTGGCCGAACGGTTACCAGAATGCCTCGCAGAGGTTCCAGGTTCGATTCCCGAGCCGGGAGAAACATTTGTATGGCCTACATTTATTTCTCGTGAGTTTGGGTGTAATTTGTGGTTGTCTATGTGTGTGTCCATGGCACCCGCGACACAGGGTTTCTTATTTTTATTATTATTATTTTAATTAGACACCGGCATGTGGAAGAGGAAACGTCACAGAGCCGATTATCACGAAGAATTCTTTCAAGGGGATGGTGATGAATACAAGTAAGGAGCAGGGCAGTGATGCAAGCTAAGGTCCTCATCATCGAAAATAAAAGATTATTTTTATAATAAATGAAGTTTTTTGTAACCAAACCTTTCACGTATATATTTATTAATAGAAAAAGTGAAAAGATAGAGTATGTACAATTTTTAATTTTTTCACTGAATTAAAACCAAAAAACCCGACTGCCAAAGTGGCATATTTTTGGTAGGCCGAAATTAAGATCATATAAAACGGAGCTTTAAAATGGCCATCGTAAAGATATAACGATTTCCAGCGAAAATTGTCAAATAATTAAACTATTGAAGAAAACTTATAATCTAAGATCTAGCTAATTACGCTTTAGCCTGTCCCGAAGGACGAAACATTTTACTACTGATAACAAAAAAGCGAAAATACAAAATGGCGCGTATTTGTCGAAGTAAAAACAAAAGAGCACAAACAAATTGAGAAAATCCACCATTCAAAAGTCATTTAAAAACGCGACAGCGAAACGGAACTTTAAAAACCTTCAAACTTTAACTTATTTATAACTAGGTATTATTATGTGACCAGAAGAAATTAAACGTGTAAAGAATACATGAATTTAATCATTACGGCCTCCGTGGTCCAGTGGCCTGCACAACGGCTTTCATAGTGTTGCCATCTCTGAGGTCCCAGGTTCGATTTCCGGCCATTTTGAAAAAATTAACTTTTCTATATTGTCTCGGGACTGGATTTTCGTGGTACCGTCATTGTTTCCGATTTCCATAACACAAGTGCTTTACACAAGTGCTACTCACTTTGGGATTGGAGCAGCGTATGTAATGTTGTCCAATAATTATTTATATATTTAATTACTGGTTTCTTTTTTATGACACTCCTGCTATACTAACCATCTTAATAGTTATTGTTCAAAACAGGGTATTTTTATTAATCCTGAACACAGCGTTAGTAGACAACTTTTTATTCATCGACATTTGTATTTTACATAATAACTTGTCCAACAGTAGATCTGATGAGGCTTATAAGGAATACCGACATTTTTTTTCCTCATTGAACAAAAGTTTTCTTAGAAGTTTTCTTCTATATAGAAGAAAGATTGATTCAAATTCAAAATAATCTTTATTTCATAGGTAAGCATTATTACACTTGAAATCGTCACAATAGTTAAACTCTACCGCTCATTCGTAAGGCAGATTCCCCTGAGAAGAATGAGCAAGAAACTCTAGGGGTTGCTCTTTGTAAATAACATTTACAATATTTATTTTTTTTATTTGAAACATCAGAGATAGAGACTACCTCCATGAGCTAAACGGGTTACTACCACGGATTTTTGTAATCCAAGTACGCAGAAGTCGTATAATAACCTTTAGTATAAAGTTTTTGTTTCACTATAGTTTTAAACCTCGTGAAAGGAAAATTTTGTATATCAACCGGAATCTTGTTATAGAAGCGTATACATTGCCCCTTAAATGATTTTTTGACTTTGTGAAGACGACTATCAAGAAAAGCTAGTTTATTTCTATTCCTCGTATTAATGTTATGTCTGTCACTATTTTTCATAAATAAATTACTATTCCTTTTAACATAAATTACATTCTCATAAATGTACTGTGAGGCTAGTGTAAGAATGTTAATTTCCTTAAACTTATCTCTCAAAGATACTTTGGGGCCCAGATTGTGCTGCCTCCGTGGCCGAACGGTTACCATGCCGGACTGCCACGCAGAGGTCCCAGGTTCGATTCCCGGGCCGGGCGAAATATTTGTATGACCTACATTTATTTCTCTCGTGAGTTTGGGTGTAATTTGTGGTTGTCTATGTGTGTGTCCATGGCACCCGCGACACAGGGTTTTCCCTAGTGCGGGGCTATGTTGAGTGTGTGCGTTAGTGTGTGCGTTATTGTAAATTGCTCTAACTGCACGTTTCTGCAGGACAAAGATTCTGTTGATATCGGCGGCATTACCCCAAATCAAAATGCCGTATGTCATTAGACTGTGAAAGTAGCTGAAGTAAACCAATCTAGCGGTTTCGACGTCTGAAAGTTTCCTTATTTTTTTAATCGCGTACACTGCAGAGCCGAGCCGTTTTGATAACTTACTTAGAAAATGGAAAGAGAGGCTGGAGAAGACCTGGACGAAGTTATTTAAATCAGCAGTTGTTTTGTAATTACTTCACCTAGCCAAGAGCCTAGTTCATAAGCTGGCATTCCTATCATTAAAACCACTTAACTTTTTATGTTTAAATAGGACCACAGACATATATCTAGACTAATTTTGTTCGTAGAATCTTTAAGCCTCTTTCCTGAAACGTTGTCATTCTGTAGATATGGCCTTATTACACGCTATTTATACATTACAGATTTATAAAGTCAATGGAAAAACTTACAGTGAACCGACGGCACCAGACACTGAGCCATCTGATGTCCCGGAGTCTCTTACCACCCGGCAGCCGCAGCAGGATGTCAGTATTGCTGTGCGTTGTCAAGATTGGAGGATCTCTAAAACAATAAATATTGCATACTCGTCAAAATGTTTTTCCGTTTATATTATGAACGCTGGTTAATAAGGCCCTAGGTTTGGTTCGAAATAGCACCAGTTGGGAAACGAGGTTTCCTTTTTTTATAATATTAAGTGACGGGACGAACAAGTCGTGCACGTACACGCCTGTCCATAACAGTTGCAGAGTAACTCAGAGCTTTAAATCGCAAAGATCTGAGGGGCACTGCCACTGCGCCCGTCTCCCTGAGACATAAGTTGACAAGCCCCAATTGCCTGTAATTTCACCAGCACCCTTACCCTTAAAAACCGGAACACAGTAATGCTGACATTACTGACCCTGGACGAACTCTTTCACAAGGAGTTTTACTGCTACTAAAAATTACTAACAAAATTTTTTATGTAACAAATTTTCAAAAAGGGTCTGTTTATCGTTCGGTAATAAAGGTTTTTGATTAATAATAATGATAATAATAATACATTTATTTCAGAACTACGTCCATATTTGTTAGTAACAATAATCTTATCAACTTTGTTAGTAACATCACAACATTATATAAAAAAATAATTCATGAGCAGCAAGTATGTAGGAAAGAGTAGCTGTACTCAAAGATGGCAAGCGTGGGTTTTAACCCCGCGTATTGTTAACAGCCGGGTTTTAATTGGGTTAAAAACTATTTATACAACTAAATATTTGTAAATCGTTTTATTATTATTACAAAATGTTTATTGTTTGTTTAGGTAATATTTCACCTTTCTATATTGAATTGATTCGAAAATAGCATTGAAATAGATCTTTACAAAAACTCGTTATCGCATACACTTGAATCGATTTTCATAAAAATCTAATCGTGTTATATACATCCCTAGTAGTAAGTTAGAGTCCACAGGATTGCAAGATGGGTATTGTATGGAGTTGCCTTTTTTCGTCCTAAAAAAGATATTTTACTTTGAAATTTCTAATAAGTATAAAATTATACCAAATATTGTATTATTTTACGTGTAGAATGTTTCCGCCCACGAATTCGGGCTGAAACGGGTTAAAACCCAGGAAGGCTGACTGGGTTTAAATCCACTGCTCATCTCTGGTTATGTCCCTGAAATTTGGCTTTTGTGATTGTCACAATGGTATTCCCTGTTCCTTTACGTAGTTACATAGTAGTATTTACCGTAATCTCGCAATTCTACACATTTCTAGGTTCTTTGTCATCAATTTTCAGAATTTTGGTTGAAATATACTGTTGATTTGAAGTATGATGTTCCCTTTTTGTATTTAAAAGAAGAGAGAACTTTTCGTTGTCGTTACTACAAAAGCATGGTTTTGAAATGACGTTGATAACGAAGAAACAAAAATCATGTACGTATTATCGGTCGTTATACGTGGGGCAAGCTTTTTCAATTCTTTTTAAGCTGAAGTTATGAAACAAAGTTAGCAATTTTGGAATGGTTTAAATATTTAAAAATGTCAACGAGTAAGTCGTGGTGACTTACTAGACCAATATAAAAACAAGTGACTACAGGCGACTGTGGATAGTCACTGGGCAGAAAAAAATCGCAATTTTAGAGGAAAACCTTTACAAAGTGGGAAGCAAACCTTCTTGGCATTTCAATTTAAGTAGGAAATGAAGCCATTTTTCCCAGTGCCCAGCAGTGGGTTGACGTTAAAACTAAATATTTTTGGTAGACACTACTCAGTGGATGATCTCCGTGGTCGAGTCGATGCACACCGGTTTTCATGGAGTCATCATCTCTGAGGTACCGGTTCGATCCCCGGCCGGGTCCATGTTGAAAGCACGCACGCACGCACGCACGCACGCACACACACAAACACACACAGAGACAGACAAACAGAAATATTCGCACGCACACACACACACACACACACACACACACACACAAGATAAGAATGAATTGTTTGTTTTGAGATTGCTTGGAAATGTAAAAATTAGAATTTAAACACTACATTATAACTTAAAATGTTAAATGTGAATTTATAGCTATGGAAGAGCGGTGCCTCCTGACTCAGGCTTGATAAGCTTAATATCCATCCACGCTTAATAGCTTAATAGCCATCCACTGTTAATGTAAAGTTAATTGTATTACTGAAATACACATTTTATTATTTATTTTATTTGCTAATCGTGGTGTACTCCTGTTCCATATAAAATGTCAATTTTCAGCATTATGTGTTAATATAAGTCATTTCGCTTGAGAAATCTTAAGCATTTTGCATTTGAATACAACCTTTTAATGCGCTGAATAGATGAAAAAAAGGAGAAATGGCTTGGTAATTAAATAAACATAATCACTCAGAGGGCTGGGGAAGGTCGGGCCCTCCTGTAGGGAAGAGGGAGTCATTACCGTAATTGTCTGCTTAGGGTAACATGGGAAGTCTTTACAATCATATTTTGAGAAATTATATTATAAACAAGACAAGTTATTGTGCATAGTTATAATCTGACCGGTTATTGTGTAGGTATATTTATAACCTGACAGGTTATTGTATGTAGTTTTTTATGTATTTTACAGGATATATAACGGGGAGTGTGCGATGGAATTACAAGATTTAATTCCGCCTTCCCCTTTCCATCATCGAGGGACTAGACGTAGGCTTGGATTCCACCCCTATGTTGTGGACATTCCAAAGATTCACACGAAACGTTATGCTTCCACATTCGTATGGCAAACGGCTATGGAGTGGAATTCCCTGCCTGCAGGCTTGTTCCCTGAACGTTATAACTTGGACCTTTTCAAGGCGAGAGTGAATGGGCATTAATTAGGTGTGCATGCTCCATCGTCGACCTTATCGTCACTTTCCATCAGATAAGAAGGAGGTCAAATGCCATTGAGTATATAACCAGAAATACTCGATGTCAGATGCGCACTTACATTTGTATAATAAAAAGTTTTGTAGCAGTTGAGCTCTCCTTGCGTAAGAGTTCGTAAAGGGAAGTACTGCCACGTTACCTATTTCTGCCGCCAAGCAGTAATGAGGCCATTACTGCGTTCCGGTTTCAAAGGATAAGGGTGCTGGTGAAATTACAGGCAAATGGGACTTGTCACCTTATGTCTCTGCGTGATGGGCGCAGAGGCAGTGCCCCTCAGAACTTTATGATTTAAAGCTCTGGGTGGCACTGCAACTGTTATGGGCAGGCGTGTCGATTACCATCTTACGCATAATCAAGAGCTGATAAGTTGTTGTGTATAGTTATAGAGGTAGATTGAGAGGCTTGGTAATCTTGAACCCTGAAGTTTGAGATTAGTACTGATGTATGCATATGCCAAAAGAGGCATTGTATTTACACATTAACAATCATATAATTATTATAAAAAAAAAATCTGCACGTCGGTCAAACTCTAACTATCAAGTTCAATAATGTTTATTTGAGAGGTAAATAAATTACGCTTGAAATCATCATATTGATTAAACTCTACTGCTCATTCGTAGAGACGATTCCCCTGAGAAAAATGAGCAACAAATTGTAGGGGGTACAATTGTACATATTTGTCATTTACAATATTTATTTCAAACATCGATCGAGACTACCTGTGAGAGCTAAACGGGTCACCACGGATTTTTATCATCTAGGTTCGCAAAAGCTGTATAATATACCTTTGTATAAAGTTTTTGTTTCACTTTTAATTACTTTTATACTTAGTGAATGGGAAACTTTGAATATTAGGCATAATTATTACAGAAATGTATACATTGCCCCTTAAATGAATTTCTGACTTTGTGAAGACGATTATCAAGAACGTCTTAATGACACACCTTTCACTTATTTCTCATAAAATTCACTATTCTTAGGAAATTGACCTATTTTTCCGGATTTAAATCGCGTATATTTGTTTCTTCAAATCAACCGACGTTTCGGGCCCTATAAAGGTCCCATGGTCACATGGTTTGCATTAATATTAGACATAACTGATTGATGACTTTACCGTGACCATGGGACTTGTAAAGACGTCGGATTGTTTGAAAAAACAAACAAAGCAATCGCGAAAACTTAAGAACTCGATATTCCTACTCTTCTTAACATAAATTACATTTTCATAAATGTACTGTGACGCTAGTGTAAGAATGTTGCATCCGGCGGTCGTTTAAATCTTGCCAACCAATCTTAATACTCAGCCAATCCAGCGCGATCTTTGCACGCTGCAAATTCCAACATCGGTATTCATTCCTCGCGCAAGACACATTCGCTTTGCCCGGCAACTCGACAAGAATAAATTGTACAACGAACGACCCCTATTCAATTTGTTGTCACTTTGAATCGTTAAGTACCAATACTTACGAATTTATTACCACAGTAACGGACCTGTAAAGGGATCCACTCATAGCCTTGTTGACCTTATCTACCAACGTGTTATTCGAAAGTTTTGGTTGTGCAGTTGATATGTGGACCTACTTGCGCATTCATAGCAAACGTGCTGGCTAATGTGACTGTGATATATGCCCACTAATAACACTAGTGTAGCTTTTTTGAAGACGGAGTAAAATGACAGTTCATTCTGCAAAAGTGTTGCTCGCTTGCAAACAGCTAGTGATTGCGGTCCATAAATATTCTATCGACTATCGACTGAATGTTGATTATGCTTATGAAATAAATACCCGAACTTGTTTCATTTGAATCATCATCCGTATATTATTCGCCCAACTACTGGGCACAGGTTCACTTGAATAGTAAAGTTTTGAAAAATTCATACATACATGCACTAAATTTAGTAGGTATTTGTATATAATGCAGTTTAGTACCAGTGAAGCTCCTCGTGAAAGTGTTCGTCCAGGGAAGTACTGCCATCTTACCTATTTCTGCCGCCAAGCAGTAATGAGAGCGTAACTGTGTTTCAATTTTTAAGTAGTAATGAGTTCCGGTTTTGAAGGGTAAGGGTGCTGGCGAAATTACAGGCACATAGGACATGTCAACGTATGTCTCAGGATGACGGGCCCAGTGGCAGTGCCACTGCAACTGTGATGGACAGGCGTGTTGCTTACCATCAGCCGCGCGACTTGTTCGTCCCGTCACTTATATATTATTAAAAAATGTGGATTACTCCGTTTATGGAAAGTCAAAATTTTGGTCACGACCTGCCGCCTAAATGGGTTCCACTCACTAGACTATGTACCCACTATTTTTTTCGCTGAATATGGATTCTTCGTTGTTCGGAGTGTCTCCTGGTGGACACCACGTTGGTAATCATTATTCTAGAGCAGAGGTTCCCAGACTTTTTTCTCATAGACCATTTTCAAAATTTAACTTCCCTGGACGAACTGTTTCACAAGGAGCTCTACTGCTACTAAATATTTATATTCGACGCCTACGTAATCTACTAAAATAGATGCATTTTTTTAATAAATCACTTTATTGTGATGTAGGTCTACATATACATGTGGACCTACTTAAAAATAAAGATAATAATAGTATAATTTTACTGCAGAATATATATTCTGTAGTAAAATTATAAAGTAGTAGAGCCTTGTGAAAGAGTTTGTCCAGGTTAGTACTGCCTTACCTATTTCTGCCGCCAAGCAGTAATGTCAGCATTACGTGTTCCGGTTTTGAAGGGTAGGGATGCTGGTGAAATTACAGGCACATGGGACTTGTCAACTTACGTCTCAGGGTGACGGGCGCAGTGGCAGTGCCCCTCAGATCTTTGCGGTTTAAAACTTTGAGTGGCACTGCAACTGTTATGGACAGGCGTGTAGCTTACCATCAGGCGTACGACTTGCTCGTCCCGTCACTTAATATTATTTTAAAAATGTGGATTACAGTATACCATTACTATAATCTAGCCAAATTCGATATTATAGAGTGTTTAATAACAAAACGTTGCTAGACAACCAACGACGGCAAGTGAAAAGAACATTTTGTGTTCATGCTTGTTATTAGGCTGACACCACCCATGGCCTGCTCGTGTAATTGCCATTTAAGAGTTGATATTACCTCAGCTCGAACCCAAATTTTGTCCGTACTAATACGGTTCAGTTTGCTTGGGTCGAGCGGCTGGGACACTGGCTTTATTTCAGCATTTATTTTTTTACGAACGAAATAAAACCGATTTGATATTTATATCGTATACTACTCGTATACGTGTTCTATTTAGTTTAGTTCAGTTGATATAAAAAAATAGGTGTAATATTATGAAAAGTACCTATTGAATACAGCGGTTTTCTTGTAAAATTTCGAGGTAAGTTTGTGTTTTTTCTATCGTGAAAATTTTTAGGAATAGTGTTTTCACATCGTATACATTTCAGTGCACATCCTTAATTTAACTGTATATTTTTTCCAAGGTGATTGATTCAACAACAACATTTGAGATGGTATAGACTCTTAAATAGGTAAGCAGGTAATTGGATTACGTAGAAGTAATACTTACCTAGCCAATTATTATTAAGTTTGGAAAAAAAAATATACGTCTAATTTATAAATAAAGTAATTAAGTTTTCCATTCCTTCCTAAAGCTTACTGTGAGATGAAAAGGAACAAAATTGTAAGATTTTATTTTAGGTATATTAATTTACTACATATCTCAGTCTCAACGTCTCCAGTGTCAATTTCTGATTCCTTCAAATAATTATGACACGTTTTTATAAATAGTTACTCAAAATTTATCATAGGCGTGACTTCAGGTTAGTGTTACCAATAGCCTAATCAAATTTCAGCGAAAAATATTGAAATTGTGGTGTATGTAAAACAATCTGAGGTGAAAACCCGAAAATTCATATAATTATGTGTTTGTTTATTGACATTCAATTCTACATCGAATTTAGCAAGAGTATAAGTATATATATCTATGTATATACTTTTTTCCGTCCATCAATCCTGTCTCCGAAATCGATAATGGCGTGTCAGATGGTTATTTATTTTAGACTTTACGTTCACTGTCCGAGCTGTCGCTAAATTGTTTAGTGGTTTGGTTGTCACTAATTACTAAGTTGGCAATATGAACATTAAATTGAAACCTGACACGATCACTGATGCAGTGGCGAAAAAAACACCTACTGTATATAAATAAAAACAAATATCATAAAATAATGTCATAGCACAAGCGCAACCCGCAAAGTTCCAGAAACAAAAAAAAGAAAAATTAAAAATAAATTTCAAGAATAAAACACGGGAGCGAATAATGTGCGACCATGATAACGTTTAACCCGAGAATGCCCCGATCACTTCTCACTGGTATCTTCTACCCTGGTGTGATATTCCTGTTTACCTCTTTTTATATCGGGAGACCAATAAACGTCAATATCAAGATAAAAAAAAACTTGTAAGTCAAAGTCAATTTTTTTTTCCAATTAACGAAATCCGTAAATAAAATAAATTTACGCGAGAAGAACGACCAAGAAATTCCAGGGATTGTTCTTTTCAAATGTACTTAAATACTTTGGAATACACTTTAAACAAAATTTGTGTGGTATGTAGAGTCATGTAGTCTTTTCATACATCTTTATCTGACATGTAGTCTTAAATTATGTAATATGGGTTTTCAATTTAAATATTTTTAATGTAGGTTTTAAAGTTACGAAACGATAGTCTTAATTATATGCTACGGAATCTTATTGTAAAAAAGTACAACACACATTTGAATATATAAACACATATATAACACACATATAAATATAATAATAAATGTCCAAGCCTGTTTTCAAAAAATGCTTTAATGAGATTTTGTTGGAAAAGCAAAAAGCTCTGATTGTGGAAACTTTTATATTACAATATTTGAGACACAAAATTATATCTTGTCTGTATTGAAATTAATTCATGGCCTATTCATGGTAGCTACACGTCCTTTACATTAGATAGTTTATTTATTGTTTACTTTTAACGTTGTTTTTTATTTTACTAACATTTTTCAATTTTACTTTTTTAAACTATATATAATTTATGTGTGTTCTTTTTTAAATAATAAAAATAATAAATATTATACCCAGACACATCAATAACCTGGTCTCAAGCCAAGCAATGCCTTGTACCATGAGTAATAGAGCAACGGAATTCGTTTCCAGAATTGGTCCTACCCGGATTCGAACCCGGCATCTCCTAATCTAGCGCCCAACCACAGTGCAAACCGTTGGACACCGAGGTCGTCATTTATGTTGTAACCATAGATAAATCTTTTCTATTCTATTCTAAATGATGATAATCTTAAATCCAAAAAGTAGTTACAAAAACACTAAATACAAATGTCAGACACTCCTATTACAAAGGCTATGATTGGTTGGTGAGTTCTACGCATCCCCTAGCACAGGATAGGAAATCCGTGTTTATAGAAGTCAACTAGAAGCACACTTACCTGGTAGTATAATCCTCAGGATACGGCACTAAGGTGCCTTCAGGCGAAGGTTGTGGCGTGTCCCCCACCCAAAAGTAAGCGTCGGGCCCCGTGCCGTCGTACGCAAAACCTCGCACAAACACAGTATTTTCGTCCACGGCATAGACAGTCCCGCGTATGCCGTGAGCGTACTGGGTTAACCGACCGATCACACGACCATAGTACGGTTCTGGTCGACGGGTTAAGACAGTACCTGGAAAAGATAGAAAAGGCATGTGAGTTGTTACACTTAGAGATGTGACCATCAAGTTATTTTGTCTTGACCAAGCAAATTGGTCAATTGCTCATGTGCTTTGTCAATTTTGGACAATTATTATTGTAGTCACGCATGTCATGTCGACTTTTTTAGTATTTTTTATAATATTAAGTGACGGGACGAACAAGTCGTGCGCCTGATGTTCAGCTACACGTCTATCCATAACGGTTGCAGTGCCACGAAGAGCTTTAAATCGCAATTATCTGAGGGTCACTGCCACTGGGCCCATCACCCAGAGACATAAGTTGATAAGTCCCATGCGCCTGTAATTTTATCAGCACCCTTACCCTTCAAAACCGGAACACAGTAATGCTGACATTACTGCTTTGCTGCAGAAATAGGTAAGGTGGCAGTACTGCCCAGGACGAACTCATTCACAAGGAGCTCTACTGCTACTACTATACTCTGTTCAGATTGTAGACGTTTTATTGTAGGGTTAGGAAACAGTAAGTTAATAAAACTAGGTGCATAAAATGCTATAGGCATAATAAACACAACTTTATTTTCAATTTTATTCAAAGCTTCAATGTTTGATTTCATTGCATAAATTTTTAAACAGTTTTTTGATAGGTATTTCATACCGTTATGTTAATGATATTCTAGTAACCACAATTATTTAATACGAAAAATATAACGATTTATTTGGCCACTGTGACAACAATTGACTAGCATTTGGCGGTCAGTTATAACTGAGGTAAGAGTACTCGAAATGTCAGAAATAGCAAAAAACTTTTTACCATACATTTTGTAGGGACATATTTAGTAATCAATTATTCTAGGTTATTTTTTGCTAAAGGAGCCATTCTTCAAGATTCCTTTTAATATTTATTATAACAGCTTTCTGGTGGGCACTCTTCGTAAAGGATATTTGACCCTATACCACTCCAAAACAGCTGTGCAGTTTTTACCATTTAAATAATATGCTTCCAATAAGTCTAAGCGTTCTACATTTGAGAAGATTTTGATTAAAAATCGTATTAAAAGTTACAATTCGCTATTAACAAAACAAAACAAAGCTGTTCCACATTAAGAAAATAATGATATGATTATAATTTGGTTTTATTTAATTCTTATTTGGAGAGTAGTGGCCAGTTTCTTTTCTAACAAAAAGTTTCCATTATGTTTTGCAGAGTGATCGGAAATTCGGATGCAAATGGTGCAATTATAAATGATGTTAGGAAGCAATTGCCCGTTTACCTACTTCGCTTGCGACACACACTCTTTGGAGGCGTCGCCAGCGGCGTTCCGCGTCCCCTAAGACTGCTAACACATTATCTGCATGTTTATGCATTATTATGTTAATGCGTGAAGTCATAATGAACTTCATGCAGCCGAGACCACGACTACTAGAAGTTGATAACGACTACGCGGCTTAGCTGGCATAGCGTCTGACACGGTTTGCTAGAACACGTCGGTTCGAATAGAATTCGAATTCGAAGGAATTTTTTCTAAGTGTTCAGCCTTTGTGTTAATAATTATAAAAAGCTAGTAGTAATTTGCCAAAAAATAATTGAATATTACGGTGGTGAAACAGTCTGACATTCAATAAAAATTTTTAGCACACTCTACTCGATAACAGCTTATATAAAGATAGAGCTTAATATAGTCTTAAAATCTCTAAACAAGTTTATGGTTTCGATTTACCTTTCTGAAAGGCTTTAAACAAAGAGTAGCCCACCTGATCAAACTGAAACCAAGCAGCAAAGATCAAAGTCGTACTTTATATGATTATGAATTAGTGTCGATCCATCTTTGCATTCATAATTATTGGGATTATTATTATATTTTTAGTAGTGTAACTAGAGATGTAAATTGAAATTGATTTATATAGTGACCAGTTGCTTTTCTAACAAAAAGTTTTTTTGCGATTTCTGACATTTCGAGTTGGCCCCATAGAGACTATTGACCTTACCAGAGACCGGATCGAATGGTATAAAAAAGTTTTGTAAAAATTGCCTTTTATCTTGCTGACTGTACCATTTTTTCAAAATCTGTGAATGCCAATCAAAATATTTTCAAAATTCATGGGTAGTCTTCCAGAACCGTTTTCCTGTAACTACAACGATTAAGGTAGCTGGTTTTACTGCCCTGTCTCAAATTTACTATACTACATCACACTCTGCTCTCCTGGTGTCTTTTTTAAGATACCAAGTGACAGGACGAACAAGTCGTGCGCCTGGTGGTAAGCGACACGCCTATCCACAACAGTTGCAGTGCCACTCGGGCCTTTAAAACGCGAAGATCTGAGAGAGACCCGTCACCTTGAGACATGAGTTGACGAGTCCCTTGTAACTGTTATTTCACCAGCACCCTTAACCCATCAAAACCGGAATGCAGTAATGCTTATATTACTGCTGACGGCCGGAATAGATAAGATGGCACTTCCCTGGACAAACGTGGTGTTTACAAAAGCATTAATGGTTGCATTTCCATCTAAGGCAGTATTGTATGATAGTTGTATTTCGACCCCTTTTAAATATATTATATTGTTACACAATCGATTATAAAATCTTTTTTCTTCAAAGAATTTAATAAAAGGTCCTTTTTGCGCAGAAGATATGAAGGCCGAATCCATAAGAATCCAAGCTGGCTGAGTATATAACAGCATTGTTTAAAGTTACTACAAATATCATGTTCTATTGTATTGGTCGATATATAGATGTTGCAGCTGTATTGTATAAAGCGCCGTATTATAATACGATTAGCCGCTTTGCAAAACTGCGCTGTTCTCTAATACGGCTACCTCGTTCAGACGGATTGTGATCCCGATACGTTCAACGAAGCGGCGGCCAACGTTTAGCTGTATTGTTCACTGAGAGAATGTTACCCTGACTAGAAATTATGAACAACAGATTTTTGTTGTTATGATAACGCAACTCTACTGGCGGCTATATTCCTAATTAAGTATCTTAAAACAGCGTAACAATGGCGAGCGCCATTGTATTGTTTTCTTAGCCGCTTTGTGAAACGCCACGTGCTATTACGATGCGGCGTACTTTTTTTAGGCGAATTGCAGTCTGGCCAAACATGAGGTAGCCGTATTAGAAAACAGCGTCGTTTTGCGAAGTGACTAGCCGTAATGTAATATGGCGCTTTATACAATACGGCTGCGACATAGATACAGCTCACAAAATACCGGAAAAGTCGCCAAGAAATAATTTAGGATATACTATATATATAGTCATGAATTCATTGATTCCTTTGGTTCTTTCAATCCTTTTTTTTTTGCTAATTTACCTATCACTCTATCACACTCAATGGCAAAGTTTAACTATATTAATTCTACTTTTTAGGCATTCCCAAGTTCATAGAAGCCACCAAAACAAAATATAACAGAATAAATCAGAAATTGAAAAGAACTCTCTTTGTTTTACAATAAAAACAACGAGAAACACTTGATTGTAACACATGCAACTTCTTATAGCAAACTCCTTTACCCCCATTATCGTTACTCCTAAGGGACAGCTACCCCAGCGGGGGTGGTATTTATCTAATATCCTAACTGGCACCCCTGCCCCATTAGGGGATATTATGATTGACGCTCGCCCCTCCGATTTTGCACAGTTAGGGATGTTTAGGGTTGTCGATATCTTAAGCGAGTTCAACGCTATTGCTTACACGTCAAAAAATGCAGAGTTTGTCCTTAGAAATTTGTAATAGTACTAATACTCTATCGAGTAACGTATTAACTAGAAAATTTTGCCACAAAGCAGCAATTCTGTATTCCGTATTGAACATATATGCTCACTTTCTGTAACAGCAGATCTCCTTTTGAAAGAATTCGTGCAGGGAAGTACTGCCACCTTACCTACTTCTGCCGCCAAGCAGTAAAATGAGCATTACTAATAGAACAAGTCTACCTTGGCCAGAATATCCAGCTTGGCAAGCACAACTTCGAGAAGGAAGCCGACAGGAGAATTCGTTTGTGCTGGACGGCATTTGGGTAGCTTAGCCACTTCTTCAGATCGTCAATCTCAAAAATATGTAAAAACTAAGGCATTTAACCAGTGCATTGTACCAGTTATGTCCTACGCAGCCGAGACAAGGTCGCTCAGCGTGCGATCGAGTAAGCTATGCTTAGGGTTTCACTGATGGACCGAATCCTTAACGAGGTCGTACGTCTGAGAACCAAAGTGACTGACATAGCTCGCAAAATCAGTAAGTAGCAGTGGGCCGGGCATGTCTGCAGGAGGGTTGATCGCCGATGGCGCAGACTTGTTCTGGAATGGCGACCACGTCAAGGAAAACGTAGTGTGGGACGCCCTGAGGCAAAACCGGGAGAGTTTGCATGCTCTAGGAGAGGCCAGCAGTGAATGCGTGTAAGCTGATGATGATGGTAGTAGAACAATACATTGTTCAACATTGGTAAACATTGTATTGTTGTTGTTGATGCAGATCTTTGTTTTTTGTTTTGCCCTAGTTTGGCAGACGGACGGGGACGATCGAAGAAAATTTTCTTTTTATTCGATCTTTGTATTCAAAATTTTAACAAACTAGTGGAGTAATAGAAATTCAGTAAAATAAATATATATCTAATAGTAACACAAAGGTCTTTCATATAAAAGTCTATTGCATATAAAAGAAATATTTGAATAAATAACACATTTCGGATAGCTTTACAATTTAGTCCCATTCTAACTACGGCTCTTGCGATATACTAGAAATTCCGGAACAGTCCATCCTAATGTCCTTGATCACAAATATTAATATTCTTCGTATTCATTTTTGTCACCTGGCCTTTAAGGACTATAACATCCTCGACATAGTCTTCGACAAATTTTGTAGTATCTCCACACTTGTACGACGTTCGAAGCCCTGTTTCCAGCTAACGTATACAACGTATTAAATAAGTATGTACAATGTACGATCGCCCCAGCTTCTTTCGCCGTGACACGTTCCGTTAATACAGTTTTGTCTCAGCATTTCGATACTCATTT